TCTCTTGACAGTAAATGGGGGTTAAACCCCAAGATGGGCTGCAGAATTAAACCCTGGTCATGTTAATATGCAGTGGAAGATCGCTGGACACCTCAAAATGGAGCTGCAAATCAGGATAGAAGAGCAAAGGCAATTATTTTAAGCTGAGTTTAAAAAAAGAAACAGCTCCTATTTTTAGTATGTTTACTACTCCTCAAAGGGATTTTCTGTTGTCTGAGACCCAGACCACTGAGGTTTACCACTGCTTGTATAACATTTTTTTCAATAATGTTATTCCTTTTTAAATAATCTGCATGGTTTCACATGGTTTTAGAATCCCTTGTATATCTCTGCAATTTATAAAGCAGGATTTACCCCCACACTGGGGGGTGAGGGAGGAGGAAGATATGGGGTCCGGTTTTGCCCTGAGTGAGGTGGGTGCAGTTCCCACTGACTTCAGCCATCTCACTGATGGCAGAATTGGGCCTGGGATGGTTTTATTTTCCCTGAAACCCAGTTCATTTCCTGCTTAGGATACATTTCTAAACATAGCATCTCACGTTTTATGCAGGAATGTTTACCCATGCAACGTCAGGCAAGGTAAACACTTTTTTTTGGTTAAGTTTCTTTTTAATGGAAATGAGTTTTGAAGTATATTATTTGGCATCCTCTCAGCTTGCTGGAGCTAAATATGGGCACTGTCTTCCTTTTTTGGTATCCTTTAGTCCTCATTTTATTTTCAGTCGGAAAGGGATGATTTAGTGCTGCTTGGTAACAGATATGTCAGTCAGAGTGGACATTGTGAGCTCTGTGAATTTTGCATTCACCTTTTAAATAACACAGCCTTGAATGAGTTTGTTGATAGAAGTTGAGCAATTTAAAAATACATTTGGAAGTATGCAATGGGATTATGACACAGGAGTGTGCCAGAAAAAATACAAGCTCTTACTATGCTGTTACAGTTGCTTAAGCACATATTAAATGCATAGTTTGTTCTGTCTCTCTCTTTTTAAAAGAAGAATGCTATAAAGGGCTAATATATACCTTTATTTAAGCCTAAATTGTTTTTAATTCAGTTTTGAGTGAGGATTCTGCTTATATGATTCTTTAAAATTCTTCATGTTTATTTGTGATGAACTCAACTTTCAATTTCAAATAAACTTGTCATTTTGCTGAACATAAACAAGATTTAAGAGCTTTCATCAGAATGGTTTGCTCTAGTTTTCTAAACAAGGGAAAACATTTCTGACCAAAGTGTGATTTTTCTGGTAGCTAATGATCATTTCATCAGTTGACATTATTGTACACTGTCAGATCAGAAAGACTGCTTTTTGCCTGTCCGACTATCATATAGGGAAGCTGTAAAGCAAAAGAACTTATTTTTATAAGCAACAGGGTTCTGGAAAGTAGAATATTTTTTTTTAATTGGTTAGCATTTTGGACTTAATTTAAGCAGAGAAAAAGGCTGTTCCCAGTACAAAGATATGAAAAACAGACCTTTAAAAATCAAACAATCTCTCTTATAGTAAGATTTCCACACTGGGGAACACATGCAAAAGAAAACATTTTGAACAAAAAGGAGTTTATTTCACTTTTAATTTGCTGTATTCCAATTGTTTACTGGAGATATTTGTGTCTCCAGGAAAGGATTAAGGACCTGATGCAAAGTTCATTGATATCAATGATTAAACTCCCACCAACTTAAGTGGCTTTTAGGTCAGGCCCTGTGGCAGAATCCTTGGGATCTGAGCCACACAGCTGGAAGGGCTATCATGTAGTGAGCCAGCTGGCTATGTGGCACACAGGTGAACTACTGACCTATCTCTAACAGGGAGGAGAAAATGCTTCCTGGGGCCACAGGGCCTCGCTTCCTCCCACAGATTGTGTTGCTGTGTGGTTTAGCTGTTTCCCTGAGAAGCGTAAATTTTACTATTCCATTTTTGTGCGTTTTTCTCTTCTTTTAATGACTGCTCTTCGGCTGCAGAGTAAGAGAGAGACTCAATAAAATCTTCACTCAGACCACACAAGCCCCACACCCAACACTTAATTTTTCAGGGCTTGTACTGGGTTTCCACACTGTTGCAGCTGCGCAGAGCTGTTTCTGAATCTGCACCTAAATGATCAGATTCAGGAATGGATCAAGCATCACTCACCAAAACAACAACTCATGCTTGGCAAAGAATGAGGTAAAATATAACAAAGTGTATGGAGGCTACACCCTGCCCAAGCTTAGCACCCTCTCCACAACAATGATAACCTTCAAGGGAATGAACTGAGATTCTTCCTTAAGTAGCATAGGTTGCTGCAGGGACACAGTCAAAGTTAGTAGGCCCACACTGGAATCTCTTTATTTTTCTTTGATGTTATACTGGCCCTGGACCCATTGCTGCTCAGTTTCATCTATGCAACACAGAGGGATCTCCCTGGTGTAACTGAGAGCAGAATGTTTATGTCAGTCTGTCTGCTTAACTACTTTAAGGGACCTCACAGTCTACATATTAGTGGGTTAACACAGCCAGGCAGAGTCTGTAGAATGATGACACAGGCACAAGCTCAGTAAACAGCAGACCATTTACTTATTACTGGAAGAGGGACCAGAGGCAGTTCCCTGAAAACAGTTTCACTTTCTCTCCAAGGCAGAAACTTCCTCTCAGCGTTACCTACCAAGACAGGTTTTCTTCCCATCTGGGAGAAGCAACATGCATAGGGTGTGCCAAGGTGCTCCCACTCATCCAGTCAGCACAGTTATGAAGGACATGACATGGGGAGATGGTAAAACAACACAGCATCTTCCCACGCGCGTTCTGGAGGAAAGGGTGATATTGGAAATAAAAATAAAACAATTTAACCATAATGTACAACTGATTATATATATATATACACAATATATATATATTTAACAGCACTCTCCACTGCCAGGATAGGGCTCAATTAAAAGGGCTGTGTAAAAAGTGAAGGCGAATATTTGAGAACGTGCCCAGTCAGAAATCCCAAATGATGACTTTTTAGTGCAAAATGTTTAACAAAGTCTCCTGAATCATACTTAGAGCTCAGACAGTGCCGTCTGTTGACATGCAGGGAAAACTGAAATGCTTTCAGATTGGAGTTATTTACGGCTATTTGTTGTAAGCCCTCTACTTGGCTCAGGCTGTTTGCTTGTATCATTATAGACTGCCTTCCTCCCCAGTCAAGTAGCCGTGGTTTTGGCAATGACCTCCCTCCCACAGGGAGATAAGGCAGTTTGTACCATGTCATTGACCAGAGGCAGCCACAGAACATTAGGCAGGCTCCTGACTGTCGAGAAGTTGAAACTGCTTGAAAACAGCAGGGTCAGTCTGCTCTCAAACACACTGATATTATCTCATTAGTGGTGGCATTTATTGCATGGTGCGAGAAGCAGAAAAGGGAGTTGTTAAAAAAAAATAGTTACAGTATATGGTCTGGCTAGGCAGAAAGAGTGCAATTCACAGGAGGGTTTTTTCTTTGTTAAAGATAGCAGTTGTTTCAAACATGACACATAAGCTGTGCAGCTGCAGATCGCTATGTCCTTAACCCAGCTCTAAAAAAACCCTCCCTGCAGTGAGTAGCAGAGGAGGGTGTTTACCTGAAACTCGGGCCGTGTTCACCGACCTTTGGAAGAGCCTGGACCAAATTCTGGGTTTATAGCAAAGCTTCAGTGAGGTTTGGGATTTTGTAACAAAAGGTTAGCACTGCTCTAGAACTCCCCCCCGCCCCTCAGGCTACCTTGCCCCTTCTGCTTGATCCTGCAATGAAGTCATAATCCTGTTTTACAACTCCACTGTCTGTTGCTCTGTAAACCATTGTGATGTTATAAAATTCAGCCTTGACTTTACTGTGGGATCAAGTAGGATGAGAAAGACAAGCATTAATATCTTTCTTAGCTTGTGAGCTGTGTGTGGCAGGGGTTATATTTTGTTCTGAGTTTGTACAGCATCTAGCACAGCCTATAGCTCCCAAGCAACGCTACAGGTCCCTAATCGGGGCTCCCAGGTGCTACCTCAATACAGCTAATGAATAAATAATAAAAATCGCTGTTAATTAACTGTAGTGAGAGAAATGAGGAAGCACACAGGAAATATAAATGCATTGTTAAGTGTATATCTCCTTTAAGGACAACCAAGAACATATAAATGTTGAGGATGTTTTAACACAAGTATCTCAGGTTGACAGCTCTTTAACACTCTTCATGTAAAAAACATTTGATACTGCATGCTGCTGGTTGAGATGTAACAACATGAATGCCATAAGCTGCCATATAAAGACCTAATCCCTCATACTGTCCACACACACGGTTCCCATGGATTCCAAGGGCTGTTACACATATGGAGGGCTTGCTGGGTCAGCACTTCTAAATTTCTGTTGGAAATGTGCAATATAAGGATCTTTCTCAGAAGGGATCAAATCCTTTTAAATTACCAACAAAGAATTATCAGCCATCATTTATTACAGACAAACCGATGATTCACAGCAAAAAAAATTATCCAATGATTTTAGCTTTTATTTGTGGTCACAGAATAGCCCTCAGCAGCTTGCGATTTCCTGAGATGCATTTATTACTTGTTGAAAGCTTTAAAATCTGTGGATTCACTGTGAACAATTCTCTCTTAAGTGCTGGGTATCTGAGCTGTATTGGTTAGTTATGCTTGGTCAGGTAGGTTAAATGGTATTGTGTCTGTCCCTGGATTGGAGGAGTGTGCAAGCACTTCCAGGTCCAGATATTTGCACACACATGTAAAATTCAGTTTCTAAAAAATATCTGTGCATTCAGTGTTGACGTTCGTGGCAGCACAATGAATTGCATGGATATTGCAGAAAGAAAACACAAAAAGTAGCGTGAACATAGCCAAAAGGAATTCATTAACATTTCTAACGAATATCTATAGAAAATATATTGCAGAACTGGCCCAAGTCTAGTATTTACAGAGTTGATAAATGCAATGCACTAGTCAGAATGAAATCCAACACAATGATATTCCCATGATAATCTTTTTTTTTTGCAGATTGTCAATCGAATTTATTCTTTTGATGGACTTTGCAGAAGATATACAATAACAATTCATGGCTATTTCTGTCCTGTTATCTACTGCTGTTGCTATTATTATTAATAATAATAGTAATAATATGTATTAATTTATTAGTATTTTGTAATCCATTTTCTGCCAACATATGTGTCAGTAATTTATATGTTGTCATATGCATGCACAGTGCTTTATGGAAATAGAAGAAGATTTAGTTTCTCTCCCAAAGTGCTGACAATGTGTTTAAAATATTGTAAGTAAACAAATAAAGAGAATGTTGCCAGCTGGATAAGTAAAGTGAGAGATGTATCAGACAGGGTTTCTATATTATAATTCTGCATTTCAACTTTTCTTTGAAGACGACTTATGGCAGTTTTTCACCAAGGTGTATTCTTACTCAAAATCTGCAAGTAAGAGAGGCATCCTTCCAATTTCTGCCTCAAAACTAGAGTACAGCTTTATAAACATTGAGAAGAATCCACAGCATGATTTATAATTTGTCATGTTTCGTAGCGTGTGTGTGTGTGGTGTTAGGAAGAATGGTGAATATACAAATTACATGTGCCATATTAAAAAGTCGTCGTACATTCATATCACACCTGTTTAAAAGAGTTATCTGGAGTGCTCAACATTAGATAGTCTCCACTTTGCTATCAAGATTTAATTAGTAAAATTTAAAGTGCTTGCTTCCTTCCCTTCTATTTCTTATGATGAGATATATTTATGTATGTGCATGCAGTGTATTTAAAGTATATTTCTACTAGGTCACAAATGTAAGCATACATTATTAACTAGTTCTAAGGGGAGTTGTGTCTATACCTCAAGGGGATAATATAATCCTCTAAGTGCTCACAGAACTGACATCCTTAGCCAGCACATTGCTGTTCTGGCCACTGTACAGATCAGTTTCTTTTGTTCCCTTTTTTTTTTAATGCCCAGGGTTTGTTTACACTCAGCTATTATACTTGGACCCATGGATGCAGTGGCTGCAGAGAGGCTGCTGTTTTTAAGTGGCTGGCCAAGACATTTCCTGGAACATAATCATCTTTATCTCAAATTCTCAATAATCAGAGAAGTTTGCACTCAGGTCACAAAAAGGTTGTTTGTTTTTAATAGCATTCCTGCATATGTTTCAAGGTGCCACCTGTAAAAGGCATTAGAGCTTGACTCTAGAGGCATAGGGATGGCATGAGGAACAACTTCTTTCCAGTTCCTGAGTAGGCATATCTTTTTTGTAATAGATTCTCTCTATCATCCACTTACTGTATTTAACCCATTGCTATTTGTGCTCCCTCTATCCCAGGTTCTCTTGATGAATTATGGTGAATTAATGGCAGGTGAAATTGTAACTGACAATCTATTTCACTGTATGTTATCTGTATAGTAAAGCTGCCTTTACACTTTCCTGTGAAGATGCAAAGAGGCACTGGATAGATACAGTATATTTTAGGATAAAATAAGATTTGAGTGATGTGTTGGTTGATTGATCTTCTTTCCTAATCCTGTAGAGGGATGCTGAGGGTAATGAAAGAATCTTAGACTGTGTGGCAAATATCCTGTAATTGTATTCACACAGGAAAAAATACAGAGCATTCATAAGAGCTAAGTGAACAATTCAAAATCGACAGTTTATTCAACACATTCAGACCAGGAGTCTGAGCTGCATCATGGCATCAGAGTTGTGCTCAGGGCAGCTGCAGGAGTCAGGGCAAAACTGGTATTAAGCAACCTTCCCAGTTCTTCCCCCCTCTCAATACAGAGGCCTCGGGGCCTGCTCTGTTATGCATCTATTGTCTTTCTCCTGGACATGACAAAGACCAGCAGGAGGAGTGGCACAGGAACTGCTACTGTGGGTCTACCATACTTGGGGACTCCCCCACAGAGTGAGACCCCTCAGGGAGCTGGACACTGTGTCTTTCTGCTATTGTAGTGGGGTCCTGGATCTTTCTTTACGGACTTACTATCTGTGAACAAATTGTGATTTCCATATTTAGTTATGGAATAAATTTATAATATAAATAAATATGGAAATCACAATTTGTATATATATATATTCACTATTCAGATTTACTCTACAAACCATTTCTTAGAACTGTTTGCTCTGTGATCCTAAAATCCTGAATAGTCTAAATCTGAGCAGTGTTTTGGGTTTTTGTTAGTTGGGAATTGTCATATAAATTACATGGTATTGTTTCTGTTCCCTGATAGTATGACATGTAAGTACTTCCAGCACAAATACTAAAATTCATTGGTTTTCTGTGAAAAGTTGTACTTGAAAGCGAGTACAAAAGAGGCACAAACATGACCAGAGCAAATTCATTTAACATTTTGACCAGATTTTGGTAGATATTTGCCTAGCTGTAACATGTATCTGACCGGTGAAGAAGCCACTGTGAGATTTGCATTGTGGAGGAGATTGGCAGAAGATGTGAAAGAAGGAAGGAATCTACTATAGGGAGGCTTGGCTTGTGGCATAGTATTCTGGCTTGCAGTGCAACCCGTCCACCCTGATCATAGGGTTAAAAACAGAAAAGACCTACTAGAAGACTGAGTTCATCCACCTGCAACTGCTGAATAAAGAGTCGTTCTCTTTCTTCTCCCCCTTCTCTCTGCTTCCTCCCCCAAGGACTAGTTAGGTATTAAGATAAGATTTTATTAATATTGATTTTGGGTGCCTCAATTTTTGGATGCCCAAATTGTCACCTTAAAAAGGACCTTATATTCAGAGAGTGGGTGTGCCATACTTTCTGAAAGTTAGACTTCTTTAAAGGCATGCCAAGTGAAGAATGCAAAAACTGAGGCACCAAAACTCAATCATTTTTGAAAATGTTGGCCTATAATGATACTACATCCGATCTTCTCTGAAAGAGAAACATGTCTCTAACCAGAGTTTAATGTGACATCCCGAATTAAGCTTCACTGTACTGAATCACTTATCCTGAAGAGTGAACAATATTAAATCATACTGAAAAATTGGCTAGTCATGCAGCTCTATTCAAGAGTCCACCCACCTACAACAGCTAACTGAAGTTCAGTGGGACACAATTGGTCAGCAATGAAATGATACAATATGTCTGAACCCAAGTTCCAGAGCTATGTACAACTCTCATAGATTCCCCTTTCCTGCATGATATGGTTATCACTCAGACCTTATTAGTGGATACTGGTGTATATCACAAAGAAGGAGAGAAGATTTTTGTTATTCAAAGGTTAGGGGAAAGAAATTCAGGAACAATGAAGGATGAAATAATTAGAAGAATTGCTATACGTTATTGGGGAATGAACAGATAATTCTCCTTGCATAATGTTTACCATTTGAATCTTGTCTATAGGTATGTACACATGAAATAGAAGTTATAGGAGGTTATTCTGGCATTAGACATAAGAAAGATATTATATAAATAATAGTGTGTGTCATTAGAAGGATAATGTTTCAGAGCAAGAAAAGTTAGAACAGAGAGTATCTAAAAGAACTCTAATAGAGAGCTGGGACGTGAATTATCAAAAAAGATTAGCCTGATTTAGGCAGCTTAGAAAATAAGAGGCTCCCCAGGGATACACTGAAGACAATCCTGAAATGAAAGGAACCAAGTGAGTGAATTCAATTCATCTTTCTGAGACAGTCACTAACTCAAAAAGTCTGGGATCGAGGATGGCAAGGGGATGAGTCAGAGCTGATAAGCAATTCCAGCATATTTATTTAGTGTTGTTGAAATATAGAACAAATAGCTGAAGTCAAGAGCACCAAGCCATCAGTTTAAAAAGGAACTAGTTTGTTTTGTTTTTGAAGGATTTTTGAGATTACAGCACTGGCTGCATATTTGAGGTTAGAATGATGCATTCTAGGGTGATTTGTATTTATTGGGGTTATAAGGGCAGGCCTTAATGGACCATATAGTATTTTTATAAAGCTGATTCCATGACAAAAATGGTACAAGATTGCATTAACTTTTCACAGATTGATAGAGAAACAAACAGCTTAAATAGACATTTCTGTTCAATAGAAGGGGGATGGGACTTCTTAGTAGGGATATATGAACTTTTTTTGCTTAATTTTGAACTCACTTTAAACACCATGGATTTAAAGGTTTGACTTATGTGTTTAAGTTTACATTCAGTGAAGAAGGGGCAGAGAGAAAAAACACAATTAAGAGGGTGAAAAGTGGAGAAGAATAAGGATAGAATTAAAAACCAGAGAGACGGGGGGGAGGGCGGGGAGGAAGGGAAGCAGAAAGAAGGAAAGAGAAAAATTCTAATGGCCAATTAAATACAGTGTGCTGTGTAGCCCATGGGGTGGGGAGGGTTCAAACATGGCTTTTAACCATCTAATGGACAGATTGGGCCATATAATAAATTAAGGGTGCTCTTTTTCTAGCTATAATCCCCCTCTGTAGATACTGTAGTTCTAATCAATGTGTATTTCAATATAAATCAGAAGTTAGGAATTTAGAAGGGAAGCCAAGAGACACAAGGAGAAGTTTATGGCTACCAGAGCTAAGAACAATAAGGAGCTTTTAAAATATATTAAGAACAAAAAGAATCCCGACAATGGTGTTGGTCCATTACTAGATAAAAATGGTAGAATTATTTATGATAATGAAGAAAAGGCAGAATTGCACGATAAATATTTCTGTTCTGTATTTGGGGGAAAACAGATGATATATTCTCTTCATATGTGATAACACTCTTTCCATTCCACTAGTATCTATAGAGGATGTTAAACAGAAGCTACTAAAGTTAGACATTTTAAAATCAGCAGTTCCAGATAACTTGCTGTGACCGGAGTCCCAGTGGGAGCCAGCTGAGGTCACTGAACTAGAGTGAATTGCAAAGAATGGGGCAGATAATCCCCAAAGCTGGTGGATATTTTCAATACTTAGATATACCAAGCCATCATAAAACAGTTTCATTATTATCTCACTGATTGCCCAGCAGCCAACACCACAGTTCCCTTGAAGTAACTGAGCCTCAGGCCTCCATCCAGGTACTCAAGTCAAATATGATGAAAATTTCTGAAATCTCATCATATAAAAGAAAAGGTTCTACCAATTCCAAAGGATCAGACACATTACCTCCCAGGTTACTGAATATTCCAGATCTTACCCAAATACACGCTCACAGCCAAATGCTTATTAACTAAACTAAAATTTATTACAAAAGAAAAAGGAGAGAGTATGATTAAAAGATCAATATATATGCAGACGTGAGTTCAATTCTTGAGGTTCTGATACATAGCAGAGATGGTGAGCTTTGTAGTTGCAAAGAGTTTTTAGAATTTAGTCCAGGGATTGGCAACCTTTGGCACGCGGCTCACCAGGGTAAGCCCCTTGGTGGGCTGGGACAGTTTGTTTACCTGCCGTGTCCACAGGTTTGTCCGATCGCAGCTCCCACTGGCCGCGGTTTGCCGCTCCAGGCCAATGGGGGCTGCAGGAAGCGGCGCGGGCCGAGGGATGTGCTGGCCACATCTTCTCTCAACCCCCATTGGCCTGGAACGGTGAACCATGGCCAGTGGGACCCGCGATCAGCCAAACCTGTGGACGCGGCAGGTAAACAAACTGGCCTAGCCTGCCAGGGGGCTTACCCGGGTGGACCGAAAGTTGCCGATCCCTGCTTTAGTCCCTAGGTTATAGTCCAATGTCCAATATCACCTTCAGGGAGTACCAACATAACTGGGATCTCAATCTGGCAACTCAACCTTCCCCTGATGAAGCTTAAGCAGATCTGAGATAAGATGGATTGGGACCCAAAGATTACAATTCGGGCCTTCTTTGACAAGTCGGAGTCCTTGGGGAACAATAGGCCCTCATTTCCTAAGCATTGTCATTAATTATTCATACAGATTAACATAAGGCAAGTTATCCATTAGGCAGTCTATCACTGGTACTTAGCTACATGAATTAACATAAGACAATTGCTTGTTCCTCCACCTTTCACAGATGATTTACTGTACATTTCAAAGAGAGATGAATACAGAGATAGCCCCTGTTTACAATTAATTTAAATGCTAGGATGTTCTTTTGATCTCTGAATTATCAGAATA